ACCTGCGCTGCCCCTCGCCCGCGGCCGGCACCACCTGCACCGCAGCTCAGCACCTGCCTCTGCCGCCCTCCTCTCTCAAGCAAACACATGCACAGCTTTCACCCACGGCCCACATCATTCTTTTTTTGTTCCCCAGAAAGGCCCAGGTATGAAAGGAGAGGAGCGTGGATCCGCTGCTCCACACTGCACCCCTCAGCCTGCTGTGCTCCCTGGGAGGCCCTGCATGCACACACACCCCTGTCTGGGGACTTAGCAGTCCTGTACAAGAAATAAATCCTGCGCTTGGTGGGGAGCCCCAGCCCAGCTCAAGGCAGACACAGAAGAAGCCATTGGGCTCATCTGCATAGCCATCATTTCAGAAGGTGCTTCAGAAGGACAAGACCATGCCCTTCTCTTTGCCCACAGTTCGTTTTCCTTCGCTCACCAAGGTTGGCACTTCTGGCAATTATCACGCTTGGACAAACTGAGCTTTCCCAAGCTGTTCTGTTTTCAAGCAAAGTTAGGCAGATTCCAGTGCTGTACCTCTTTACAACAGCAAGGAGCTGCATGCTTTTCCAGACCTTTACCTGACACCGTATTGAAGTAGTGCTTGCGGTAGCACTGAAGACCTGATGGTGCAGAGGCACTCAGCTATCAAGGACCTTCCATTCGTGACTGCTGTTCCTACAGAAGCAGCATGAAGAGGGCCCAGTGGAGACCGTGGCACTGACTGTGCAAAGTGCAGTACATCGTAAGAGACCAGCCTGCTCCAAAAAGCTAGAGAAGAAGAGGAAACAGAGAGAAATAAAGTGATTTACCCAAGGTTAAAAAGCAACTTGGTGACAGAGACGGCAGGCAATAAAACCTAACAAAGCTGACTTGTTTGTCTAATCTGTGAGATTATGTTGCTCTGAACACCTGCTGCCATACACACCGTCCTGCCTTGTTTAATATATGATGCATTGACTGGTTATTGGCAGGTTGTTATGTTACTGCTCAGATTGAAAATGCTGTTCAGACCATCACTGACAGGCTGGTTTTTAATACCTCACATCACTCTCCTCATGAAAACTTTCCCTAGAAAGACACTTTGGGATAAATGAAGAGGATTACCCTATCAAATCACTTCATGAGAAGTGAGTCAGTAGTCAGTAGATCTTGTCTAAAGTTTGGCTTAGCGAGGGGGCCTTATAAATGGACAAGACTCTGCAGTCAGTGTGATCTTTCCATTGATCTCACACCAAACTGCAGTTCCAGTGGTTCACATACTTACGTACACTAAAACACAGGAAGCACATATATACTTAGAGTTAGAGATCACCAGCTGCAATAATTGCTTGATTATATCTGCTAACTCATTATTTGTGCTTAGGATAGCATTCTCCTCCCCTGAAGGCAATGAGAACAGGGTATTTTCATCAGCTCCCAGAAGATACAAGAGATGGCCCATAATGATTGGGGTGGGTTCAGCTTTAATGGATAAAAAAATAAATTCTTTCCTAGATTTTCCTTTTCTTCCTGAAGCAGAAGAACACTTTGCCTATTTCTGTTCTAACATGCAGCACAACCTGAAGGAGAGCTAGGGTTAGGGCAAAATAAATTGGGGATATTGCCTGAGCATCGGGGCCAAGCCAGGGGATGGGACAACACCCTGACCCAGCATGAAGGCAGCAGGCACCAGGGGCAGAGATGAAACCAAAGATGCAACTAATACTTTAGACAGACACCATAGTCAGGTCAGTTGTGGCCACCAGTCAATTCAGTGTCACCCTTTCCCAGGCAGGGAAGTGCCACCCCACTCGCAGGTGTGACTGGGGGACCTCACATCCCATGGGTGTGCATCAAGGGCCTGAGCCAGGGGGGCCTTACTGGCATGCCTTGGGTGTCCCAAACTCTCCTGGGCTCCAGGCAAGTGTTCAAGGTTGCGAGAAACGAAGAGCTGAGTCATGACAAGCCCTGTATCTGGATTGCGATGGAGCATGCTCGTGTTGCACTTTCTCGGGAAGTGATGCCAAATGTGTTTATACAAACACAGCCCAACATGACTGAGCAAACATTACTCATGGTTTTGACAGACGTTTGCCTTTGGGGTAAGAGTGAGCACAACCACGGGGTCAACAGTTCAGAAGGTTAGGAGGGGAAAAAAGGGGGAGTGTACACAGAACAAGTTGTTCCCCACTCCTTGTGATGGGTCTCAGTCTTACCCCCTTCACCCATGAGTCCACAGAAGCCTGTCAGATGCCTGGTGGTAAGGTTCAGTTAGTTTATCATCAGTTATGGAATAAACATAGCACTTCGATTATCATTAATAATATTTATTTTGGAAAAATATTTTAAAAATGAATTTCTTCATTAACAAAACAGTAAAAAAACTCAAATAACATTTGCACAATATTCCATAAATACATTTATATACAAAAAAATATAGTCACATAGACCCGAAGTGCCTTTGTACATATTTACCAAAAAATTTAAATTATAAAAAAATGAACATCACAAAATACTCAAGCTTTACAATCATCATGAAAATATTTTTACAGATTCAAAAAAATAACACACTTTTCTCACCTAGTAAAAACACATTTTAGTATCAAAAAAGACAATAAAGGCAGTGTTTGTGTCTCTAATTCAAGAAAAGACTGGCTCATAAGAATCCAAAATATACACTTCAGGCAGTGCATGCTTCTTATGTAGTAATTAAGTCCATTCATTTAAATATATATAGAAAAGCAACTGACCATAGTGCAATGATAAAATTCGTAAAAGGCAGTGCAACAGTAATCCTTGAACACAGACCCTTGCCTGGTGTCCATCTTGTTTCTCTATTTTGCAGTCACTTTGCTAACTTCAGTAGAGAACCAGCTCAAGCCTGAATTTAGTTTCTCAGCAGCAGTCAGTGAAGGAATCTATCTCCCATTCCTCTTTCAGCAGCATTCGTCGGGGCACATCTCCTCTGAAATTGTTCTGAACAACCACCTTGCCATATCGCCTCTGGTTTACACCTGGTGAGAAAAAACACAAGCAGAGATCGGGAGAGGTTAATGGAAAGTAAGAAGAAGGCTGTAAGGCTGCAGAGGGTCGGGACTCTGCACCAGGAAAGAACGGACTCTGCATGAAGTACACTAAGGGGTAGGTCAGCAGACCACCCCCACACTATAATTGTACTTTTGCCTGCAAAAGTCATCATACCCATAACAGCACTGAGCTTGTCTTTACAACATCCACAGCACGACAAACTCAAGCTGGCTGGATTTCAACAGGTACAGATCACTGTGGCAGCACAGAAAACAGTTAGCTGCCCTGACATGTGTTAGATGAGGGTTGCACACCAAGACTTTTCTCTGCTGTTCCAACTGCCAGGCAGTATACTAACCTCAGTTGCTATGATGCACTCATCTTTCTCTTCTGATATGACATACACCGACTGGTACTTCGTGTCCTTTGAAGTGGAGTATACTGAATCTGGTCGTTTTCTTTCAGAAGTATCACTATTGAAGACAAAAAGAGACAACATAGGTCATATGGCTGTTGCTTAACGCTACCTATGAGACACACATACCCCCTTCAGAGCCAAGCTTCCCCCTGCACTCAGATGCAATAGATACCTCTTTAGTTGTACTGCACTTTTCTCCTCTGCCTCTGAATCATACGTTTCACACTTGGCTTCACATTTGCTGTGCTCCTCTTTAACAGAGTCCTCATTCTTGAGTTCATGCACCAAATTGTAATCCACTGATGGGTATCTGACTTTGTAGCCATTTTTATCAGAGTTATCACTGTGAAAGTCTACTTTCTTATTCGTGTTTTTAATCTGAGTGGCACCAATTACACTTATCGAAATGTCCTTCTCACGCTGGCAGTTTGCCAGGTTGTTCATGGTCTCAGTCTCGCTCCTGCAGGCATCAGGCTGGTGGTGCCTCTTCTGCACTCGGAGCCTGACGCAGACAACCACAGCAGCGCACCCCAGCAACAGCATGAGGACCAGAATAATCCCAGCACAGACGGCGATCCAGGGGAATTGGGAGTTCTGGCCTTCTGTGTATTTCTCGGTGAAGTCTACGATGACTGGTCCCTGAGGCGGCTCAGGGAGCAAAAACTGGCAGTTGAGCCCGCCGTACCCCCGGGCACACTCACAGACATAGCGGTTGTTTCTTTCATGGCAGGTGGCCCCGTTGTGACAGGGGTTGTGTTCGCATCTGCTCACCGGGGTGCTGCAGTTCTTCCCGTTGTATCCTGGAGGGCAGGTGCAGGAATAGTCATTGATGCCATCCTGGCAAGTCCCTCCATTGACGCAGGGAGAGGAGGCGCAGTCATCCACGTTATCATCACAGTGTCTCCCCGTGAAGCCAGCCTGGCACTGGCATATGTAGGAGTTCCCCAGGTCGACGCACTGGGCTCCTGCAAGACATCAAGGGGGATGAGCACTGAGTGGTGGGCAGCCAGACCTGACAGCCTCCCACCTGCTGCTCTCAGGGTGACCATCACAACCAGCAGCCTATAAAAGCTTTCTTTTTGAGAGGTTAGCTCAACCTTTGCCAAGTCTGATCCACCATTAAAAGTATAGGGGTTTTTTTAAGGATGATATTTATTAATCAGATCTACTTTTCATTCACCATCCTATTCCCTTTTTGATATTTCACTCAGCTTGGACAGCAAAGCTAGCCCAGATCAAGTTAATATCACAATCTCACATTACAGAGTTTGAGTGACAATGAATGAGGAGGACTGCAGCAAAGAAAGTCTTCACTAGTTTAATCAAAACAGGAAGATTACTGTTACCAGACTACAAGTAATAATATTTGGCACTTTTATGGCATTTTGCATCCACAGACCTCAAAGAGTCTTTGCAAAACATTTACAAGTATAATCCTCCACATTTTTATGCAGGAAGCTTCAGGCCAAGTTACCTGGCCACAGTCACCCCTTGAAAAAGTGCTATCTGCAAGCAATGTCCCAAACCACAAAGTACAGTTCCTCCACCAAGTTAACTATTGACATGACATGGACCACGATTGATCAGTGGGCCTTGTTATGAACTCCAGACCAGAAGACAGAGTAACTGCACAGTCTCCTCTTAGAAGGCTGGTGTAGCGTGTTTGGCCTTACCATTAGCACAAGGGCTGGAACTGCAGTAATCAATTTTCTTCTCACAGTTGAACCCAGAGTAACCCAGTGGGCAGCGGCAGCTGTATCCCCCATCAGGGTTGTCGGTGCATCGCCCACCGTTGAAGCATGGTCCATCAGCGCAAGTCATTGCACTCAGCTCACAGTTTTTACCATAGAAGCCTGGGGGGCAGGTACAGGAATAGCTGTTCTCGAGGTCCTGGGGGGAGAAATGAGAAACGTTCAAAATATTTATCTGAAGCTGCTTTGAAATCCGAAAAGGGATTTTGATAATCAGTAAAACTGACATTAACTCTTCTCTTGGGGTTTCAGATGGCAACTCAAACTTACAGTGCAGCTTCCACCATTCTTGCAAGGGTTGGCGTCACATTCATTGATTTCAATCTCACAGTTGGAGCCTGTGTACCCAGGCCGGCAAGAACAAGTGTAGCTCCCCTGACCGGTGTTGGTGCATGTGGCACCGTTCTTGCAGGGCTTGTGGTGGGTACAGTAGTTCAGGTCTGGAAAAGATTTATTTCAAAAAAGAGAGCAGTCAAGATACTTGCTCCTTTGCAAAGCTAGCACAGGGTGGGTGAGCTGGAAATAGCCCCTTGCTTTCTGCATTTTAAAACAGACACTCAGGCAAGGACTGAGAACTCACCCTGGTTACAGAAAAGGCCACCCCAGCCTTCCTGGCAGTTGCACTGCCACGGCTGCTGACAGGTACCATGAAGGCAGCCTGGGTATCGGATGCACTCATCACAATATCGCCCCTGCCAACCCACTCTGCATCTGGAAAAAAAAAAAAAAAAACAAAAAAAAAAAACCAAACAAACAACAAAGTCTCATCAGATTTAGACTTCTCACAGTTGGAAACCCTACCACAAACTCTGCAAACACACTGATGCCAGGGATCAAGTTTCCAAAAGCCCTCAGTGATCCTTCATGTGAGAAAGTCACCGAGTCCAACTGTAGCATCAGCTTTCATCAGTCCCAGCTATTTCTTCCACTTCTTTAGACAGAGACATGGTTCCAGGTAGTTAATTTGTTTACTCTAATAACAAACAGCTAAACCTCACACACAGCACTGTAAACTCGTTAGGTTAATATTAATGGCACTGATGTTTGACTTGTAGATTAATACTTTGATCTGGCATCACCTGGGTATCTCAAATTGCCATCTAATATGAAGGAAGGCATTTAAACCGACCCTTCAAATGAGCAATGGCTTACTTAACACCAGAACATCATTAAAGACAAAGAAGGGAATGGGAGGAGAGTGGAAAACTTACTTGCATTCCCCAGGTTTGTCGCAAAAGCCGTGTTGCTCATCGCATCCAGGCAAACAAATCGCTGTAAACAAACCAAGCAGGGAGAGACATCAGCACTGGGGCCAAATGCCTCCCTTTTACAAGTCCCATCCCAACAACACCTTGCGGGTGGAGAGCGAGCCCCTTTTACTAGGTTGGGGCAGTCAAATGCAGCTGAGTTAATCTCTGGAGCCTGCAGGAGTATTGATCTTGCCCTGTAACTGGGCACTTTACTTATCGCCAGGGACGAGCATTCTTCTTAATACAGTTGCACACAGACAAAAGAAGGCTCACAATTGCTCCCTTCCCCACAGCCCCTCACCCCCCTTCCCTTCCCAGTGAGGGTCAGAAGTCCTTTTTTCCAATTCTATGCACACAGCTCCACCTCTTAATATCCCCCGAAAGTGTGTGTGCAGATAAGAGTGGACAGCTGGTGTGCAGGGTGCCAGTGCAAGACAGCTGCTCTATTGTCTATTCTCTCCCAGCAGCTGCCCCACTGCAACA